GGTGGGTTTGGGGCTGCGGAGCTTTGGTACTTTGGAACCTGGACTCTGACTGGGGGAAAGTGAGGCCCCCATCCCATCAGCTGGCTTTGCAACAGGACACCCATGGGACTGTGTCAGCAGGCAGCAGGTTGCCTAGCCCCGGACACAAGAGGGAGGCAGTTGAGGGGGCATGAAGGGCTGGAGTGCCAGGCTTCATGGCTCAGCCTCCCCAGCAGCCCACAGCTTCCTGTGTCCTGCTAGGGCCATTACTCATTCAGTCACTCATTCAGCAAATGCCTACTCCACGCCAGACCCTGTTCTAGGTACAGAGATATACCAGTGAACAAAACACGATTTTTGGCCGGGGGTGGTGGCTCATGCCTGTAATCCCAGCACTTTGGGAGGCTGAGGTGGGAGGATCACTTGAGGCCAGGAGTTTGAGACCAGCCTGGCCAACATGGCAAACCCCTGTCTCTACTAAAAACACAAAAATTAGCCAGGTGTGGTGGCCCACGTTTGTAATCCCAGCTATTTGGGAGGCTGAGTCGGGAGGATTGCTTGAACCTGGGAGGCGGAGGTTGCAGTGAACCGAGATCACGCTACTGCACTCCAGCCTGGTGACAGAGTGAGGTCCCGTCTCAGAAAAACAAACAAACAAACAAACAAATAAAAATAAAAGAAAACAAAAATCCACTACTTTCTTTTTTTTTTTTTTTTTGAGACGGAGTCTCGCTCTGTCGCCCAGGCTGGAGTGCAGTGGCGCAATCTCAGCTCACTGCAAGCTCCGCCTCCCGGGTTCACGCCATTCTCCTGCCTCAGCCTCCCGAGTAGCTGGGACTACAGGCGCCCGCCACTGCGCCCGGCTAATTTTTTGTATTTTTAGTAGAGACGGGGTTTCACCATGGTCTCGATCTCCTGACCTTGTGATCCGCCCGCCTCGGCCTCCCAAAGTGCTGGGATTACAGGCGTGAGCCACCGCGCCCGGCAAATCCACTACTTTCAACAGAGGACAGAACCTCTGTCTCTTGCTCTGAGCCCCCGGCCTCAGTTTCCTCATCTGTGACGAGGGGATTCGCATGACCCATTTTATCTCCTTCTGCCTAAATTGTTTCGATCTCCGAGGTGAAGGGGCACGGTGAGCATCATTCTTTTTCCTGGGAATGGGTTTGACAAGACACTCATGGATATAATTCTTTTCTTCTGTCTGTCACTCTTCAAGGCTATGGTTCCCAGATGGTGAGGGCAGGAATGGAGATGAAACAGAGTAAGATGTGGGAAAGTGGGAGCCACTGGGAGCCCTTGAGCCACAGGGGAGGCCCATCCGGGCCTCTCTGTTCCCAAAGTCCTGGGGAACGCGCGCTCTTTAAGTGGGAGGGATAGGTGGGAGGGGGCCCTGCTGAGACCTCCAGCTAATTCCCATGCCCCAGCTCCCCATCCCTCCAGGCCCAGTTGTGGGCCTGGTTAGAGGTGGGATGGGAACGAATGCATTTCCTTTGCCTTCATGGAAGCTACTGGCTGCCAGAAGGCACAGCCCAGAGCCTCAGACCTGCAGGACCCCCATCTTCTGGACAGAAAGGAAGTTGCCAGGAAGAGAGAGGGCCGACAGCAGTCCTGGGTCCCGGGGTGGCCACCAAGCCCCACAGACAGGATGTAGTAGGGAGAGCTGGAGCCTGCAAGGAGTCTCTTCACCTCCCACCCCTGCAATCCACTTCCCCTAAGACCGTCTCCCAGATGACCCCCTCAGGAACCTCTCTGAGCTTTTAGATCCTGGGACCCCTCTCCAGTTCCCCTCCAGCCCACACACTTGTGCCTACCTTCCCTTTTCCTGCAGACCTCAGTTTGCTCATCTGTCCAGTGGAGCTGCTCTAGCAGCATTCCTCCCACAGAGCTGTTGGGAGAACCTGAGGGACGGGAAGACAGGCCTGGGGAGCCGGAATTGGGGGAGAGTTTCTATTTGGGAATCCTAGAGAGCCCCCGAAGGAGTCAGGTTCTGAGGCTGCTGACAGACCACTGGGGACACCCACTATGCCCCGGTCCTCAGGCACAGAAGGGAGGGCCGGTGCCTCCCGAGGCCCTGTCACTCTGGATCCAGGGCCTGTTTTTTTCTGGAAAACAAGCGACATTCATCACGAGTGACAGCCAGGCCCTAATGCAATCTCGGCTGGAGCCATGAATTGCAAATGCGCCACAGGGAGGAGGCTGCTCCATTAGGGCCCCCAGGGAAGTCACACGCCTGGGCCCCAGGGGTGCTGGTCAGCGGTGGGGACACCTCACAGACCCGGCAGGGTCCAGGGCTCCCACAAGTCAGCCTGGGCCAGGCCCCGCCGCCTCGGGGTCCTTGGGTTCTCCCAGTGGGGTGGGGACCAGGCTCCAGCGTGGGCAGAAGCGGGAGGCGGTTCCTGGTGACTCAGAACTTGCTTTTGTCCCTCTGTGAGATTCACAGGGAAAAAATCAAACACCGGGCAATTAACCGGAGCAAGTCGGGTGAGTGGGGCGGGGCAGGCAGGCCTAGAGGCCCCCACTCTGACACCTCACCCGCCTGGCAATTGGGAGGGCCCCACCCCGGGGCCAGAAGCACTCAGGTGACCAGGGTGCCACGGCCCCTATGGGGCGGGGCCAGAGCTCTGCCCCTCACCCCAAATGGGCCCTGCCCCTCACCCTCATCTGGCCTCCTTCCAGCAACCCATACACGTGTGCCCTCCCCCTACCGACTCATCCTCCCGTGCCCAGGGGCTCTGCTCCTTTCCAGGACCAGTGCCACTTCCACACTGGTGTGCCCGGAACTTCCGGCTCTGCACACACATCTGTGCCGCTGCCCCCAACTCCGCAGCGTGTGCCTGGGCCTCACGTGTGTGCCCAACTTGCTGCCAGCCCAGCACTGAGTCAGGGCGTGCCTGCCCGCCTCTGGCACCCGGAGCAGACGAGTAGACGGGTGGGTTTGTTTTTCCCTGTGTGTTTTGGGTTCAGGAAAAAAAAAAATCCACAAACGAGCTCTCCCTGAGGCACTTTTCCCTTCATTTTTCTGCCCAGGTGTCTCTAAAGGGAACTTCATTGTCTGTTTCAAATTCATTTGCACTTAACTCATCTAGAAGTTTTGCAAGAGCTGTTTGAAGTCCAAGGAGCCTCTGAGCACCTCTCCACCTCTCCCCACCCTTGTAATGAGCCCTTTAACCCTTGGAGGCCCAGAGCTGCCTCTGGGCCTGAGTCAAAGGCTCTGCTGTCCCCTCCCCTCCTGGGCGTGGGAGCGAGCTTAGGACCGGCTAGGAGGTGGGAGTGGCATGGGTGCGGGGGTGAGGCTCTGTCCAGCTTGCCCCCTCCTCTGGAACACACACTTACCTGAGCATCTCTCAATGCCCCCCTCCACAGTGGCCTCAGGCTCCACTGTGCAGGGCCCAGCTGTTGGGGCTTTGAGCCTCCCCCACTAATTAATGGGTGCCTGCAAGGGCTAACCCAATCAGCCCCCAAATTAATCTCAATTATAGCGATTTGGTAACTGCAGCGCTAGCCAGCCCGATTGAGCCAGGATTTCATCACCTGAGAATGGGGAGCCGGAACCCAGACAGCTCAGCCTCAATGTTATTGGCAGGGAGCGGAATTGGGGTGGGGGAGCTGGGTGGGGCTCCGGGGCCCCAGGCAGCCCAGCCTTTATCACCACCATCAAATTATTTCATGCCAGCTAATACTCACATTGGCAGCCCGGCCTGCTATCCCCCCCACACACACCCCCGTCCCAGCTACTGGGGAAGGTGGAGGAGGCTCTGGGTGGATCTCGGGCTGCCTCTCCAGGTCCCCTCAGCTCACAGCCTGGAGAGGAGGCTGCTGAGCCCAGTGGAGCCCAGAGAGGTTAGGCTCTGGAACTCCAAGTTGGGCTAAGGTCCAGGCTCTAGACCCCGAGATCCAGCTGGGCTGCCTCCCTGAGGACCGCGAGGCCGGGAGGCAGACGTGGGCAGATGACTCTGGTGCACTGGCAATTCCCTGTGGTTTCCAAAGCCCTTTCCCATCCGGTAGCACTGGTTTGCTCCCTGCAACATCCCCACAGGGCAGGGCAGGGCTATTAACTCCATTTTACAGAGGGGGAAGTAGAGGCCCAGGGAAGAGACTCAGCTTGCTCAACGTGTCAGTACAGGAGCCAGGGCTCCACCAGGCTGCAGGACTCCTAGTGCAGTGCTCTTCCCATGAGAACACATCAGCTGGGAGACTGTCCTCCTGCCCCCAACTTCAGCACCCTCCACATCCCCATCACACACCCAGCGCCTCCTCTTCATCCTCCTCCCTGAGGTCTAATTGCCACAACGTGTTGCCATTTGCTCATTCATTCAGGCAGTCAGACTTCTCCAAGGCTCAGTTTCCTCATCTGTAAAATGGGGTGAAAATCATTACATCTGCTCCCCCACCCACCCCCACAGGACCCTTCCTTCCTTCCTTCCTTCCTTCCTTCCTTCCTTCCTTCCTTCCTTCCTTCCTTCCTTCCTTCCTCCCTCCCTCCCTCCCTCCCTCCCTCCCTGTCTCTCTCTTTCTTTTTGAGACAGTCTCGCTCTTGTCACCCAGGCTGGAGTTCAGTGATGTGATCTCAGTTCACTGCAACCTCTGCCTCCAGGATTCAGGGGATTCTCATGCCTCAGCCTCCTGAGTAGCTAGGATTACAGGCGTGTGGCACCGCGTATGGCTAATTTTTGTAGTTTTAGTAGAGACAGGGTTTCACCATGTTGGCCAGTCTCATCTCAAACTCCTGACCTCAAGTGATCCTCCCGCCTTGGCCTCCCAAAGTGCTGGGATTATAGGTGTGAGCCACCGCGCCCGGCCCCCTACAGGGTACTTTCTATGTCCTGAAGCCTTCTTTCAGTGTGAGGTTTCAATTGTGTTTCTACAAAAAGTCATGGTGGCAGCAGAGGGTACCGGAGACCTGGCAGCTCCTGGTCTGTTCCCCAGCCATGGGGCATGTTCATGTGGACAGGACAGCGGGAGGGCCACCTCCCTGGGGCTGGGCAATGGCTCTCTATGGTGGAATCCAGGCAGCCGAGGAAGTCTTTGGGGCCTTTACTCATCACCCTGGCCCACCCCACACTGCCAGTCGAGACCCCTGTATCATAACATTCCAGCTCCTAGAGGACCGTGAAGTCCTTGGTCACCTCCCCTTGAACACATGAATGAATGAATCGGGTCCTACATCCTGTGGAAGAGACAGAAGAGACACTTAACATAGCTCAAGCTACTTCCACACACCCTCCTGCTACATCCTTCCACCCTGACCTCTGGGGGGCTCTTCTGTCTCCAGGGCCCTGTCTGCCGCACCCTTGGCGGTAGCCCTGGGGTAACTCCCACCACCCTGCCCTCTCAGCCCTGGGCCTGGCTGACCAGCTGGGAAGGGGTCCAGAGGTCGGGGTGGGATTCTCTTGGGAGTGCTTTGCCAGGCCCCCAGCATCGCCCGTGAGCCCGGGCACCACTCACAAGGGCTGTCACCCTGCAAGGGAGCCAGGGCCCTGCGAGGCCTCCTGCCCCCACTTCCCGCAAACAGTGGCAGGATGATTGATTTTGCGGGAAGAGCAGCCCCGAGGGTGGGGGCGGGGAGCCGGGGCGCCAGGGGATCCTCACTCCATTTGCTTGTGGCTGTGAGTCAAGGCCAGGTCCCTCTGGGCAGGGTGTGAGGTGTTCCCCACTGTGCCTACTGTGGGAGGGCAGGGAGGGCCTTATGGGGCTTCCCACAGCAGGCCCGGGGCCCTGGGGGGCCTGACAGCCTTGAGGGGGCCCTCCGACCCCTGGGACTCCTGGTCACCCCGTTAGAGGATGTGGCTGGCATGGCTCACCCCAGGGAAAATGAGTCCTCCCTCACTTTGTCTGCAGCTGGGCTGGGGATGCGGAAGGGCAAGGAGAGATTCTACCCTGGGCTGAGCCGGCCCCACTCTGCCTGGGACTCCTGCCCTATGGCCAGGTCTGCAGAGCTCCCTCCGGACCTGAGGGGGAAGGAGGGAGCTCTGAGTCATTCGAGAGTCATGGGTACATCTGCTCACAGACAGACAGACAGACAGACACACATACACACACTCGCCAGGATTCACAGGGACTCAGGGTCAGGTCTTCAACGCCTCATGCCCACAAACATGCGCGCATCACACAGGGGCAATGTGTCCTGGAAACACGCTAATATGAGTGGACGCCAAGCAAACCCTGCTCCACGAGGCTGCCCCAGCGGTGGACACAAAGACAGCGACACCTTCAACAGCAGGCGAGGGGGGTTTTCTTGTCTCCTGTTCCTCTTGGAGAGACAGTCAAACTGAAACCCAGGAAGAGAAAATGATTCAGACCCTGGATGAGTCGGCAGCAGTGAGCAAGTCCCAGGAGGTCACCTGGATTCAGGATGCTCCAGAAAAACAGGCCAGAGCCCTCTCCATTGGCCACATTTGTCCCCAAGCTTTTGGGCCTGGCACAGGTGTGTATGCAGTGGTGGTGGAGGCATTGGGGGCAGGGAAGCGGCGTTTTCTAGCATTGCCAGACAGAGAAGGGGATGACTTCCGCTTGGATTGAGAATCACGGAGGACTTCTTGGAGGAAGGGATGGCAGGAGTTCTTCATGAGGGAGGAGGAGGAAGCAAGCAGGAATTTGGGGGTGGGACCCTGGGAGAGTTTGGGGAAGCTGGGTGTCTTGACTTGGGTGAAGGGAGGCAGCCTCTGGGAGCAGAGGGCAGCTGGAAGTGGGTCGTGGAAGTGGGTTTCCCAGTGAAGTGCTTGTGGTGTGTCTGCAGCGTGTCCAGGCTGTGCTCAGTGCTACGTGAGACCCAGGGGAAGTCCCCACAACCAGCCTTGCCTCCAGGGACCTTACAAGTTGGCTGGGAGGACAGAATACGCCCCTACTCATGCAGAAGAGCATCCAAATACAGTCATGAAATCATGGTAAGGGGCACCAGTAAGCCCCCGACCCAAGTTCAGTCAATGCCACTGGAGCTCAAGAGAGTGAGGGAGGCTCAGACTTCCAGGGAGGGTTGGGTCGGGGTCAGTGCAGAGGAAGGACACCCCAGGTGGGCAGAGGCTTGCAGAGGGGACCCAAAGAGACTGACGCAGGCCCGCATTCCAGATTCTGTGTGGGGAAACCTGGAGAGACCACAGCAGCCCTCAGAGGCCCATCACGAGTACAGATGGCATCCAAGCACCTCCAGCCCCACTCGGTACCCAGGGATTCACCATGAGCTACTCTGTTTCCCGCTACATCCAGGAAACGCTGTTGACTGGGCCGTGGTGGGTGCGACTATAAAGGCTCTGAGAAGGCCTGCAGAGGTGAAACTGCTTGGTTTCTGTCTTTTTTGGTTTAGATATTATTAGTTTCTTATAGAAGAGACATACAAATTATTTACACGGTGAAACTTTCAGAACTGCAGTGGAATGGCAGCTTCAATGTGATGCCATTTCAGTGAGCAATTAATTTCAGTCCACATACATCCTAAGAATGTCACCATCTCTAAATAAGAAATAGTCCTTATTGGCTTCCAGATCTCTGAGTAAGTGGAGGTTGCTGGTGGGCGGCATGTCCAGAGAGGGCACGGAAGCTCCGCACCCCTTCCCACATACCTCTCCCTAAGCATCTCTTCATCTAAAATCTCAAAGACAAAGCAAAATGTCACCTAACTTCTTGGTTGACAATATGGGCTGGATACTGAAGTTTCTTCTTCCTGTAATAATTGTTGCTTTATAAATTCAGTAATATAAAGAAAATCTAAAAAAAAACTGAGCATGGTGGCTCACGCCTGTAATCCTAGCACTTTGGGAGGCCAAGGAACGTGGGTCACTTGAGGCCAGGAATTTGAGACCAGCCTGGCCAACGTGGTGAAACCCTGTTTCTACTAAAAATACCAAAATTAGCCGGGCGTGGTGGCGTGTGCCTGTACTCCCAGCTACTCAGGAGGTTTAGGCAGGAGAATTGCTTGAATCCAGGGGGCGGAGGTTGCAGTGAGTCGAGATTTCGCCACTGCACTCCAGCCTGGGTGACAGAGTGAAACCCTATCTCAAAAAAAAAAAAAGACAAGAAAAGAAAGAATCCTTGTTGTCTAGAACAACTTTAGAGCCTCCGTATTCTGGGAGAATAACTTCATCTCCAGCTTTCACTCCAACTAGTTGAATCCCTCTACCTTCCCTTAAAGCTGCTACTATTGCTTGCAATACTCTTCTGGAAGCATCAGGCCTCGTTTGGTTACAGTTTTGGCTGCACTCCTTCAACCAATACTGGGTCAAAGAGCAAAAGAAACTTCCTAAGTCCTGTCCTGCCATGCCTCCCACCACCATAGTTTGTACTCATGCTTATGTTCTCGCTCTCTCTCTTTTTTTTTTTTGTGATGGAATTTCGCTCCTGTTGCCCAGGCTGGAGTGCAATGGTGGGATCTCAGCTCACTGCAACCTCCACCTCCAGGATTCAAGTGATTCTCCCGCCTCAGCCTCCTGAGTAGCTGGGATTACAGGTACCCACCACCATGCCTGGCTAATTTTGTATTTTTAGTAGAGACAGGGTTTCACCATGCTGGTCAGGCTGATCTTGAACTCCTGACCTCAAGTGATCTGCCCGCCTCGGCCTCCCAAAATGCTGGGATTTCAGGCGTGAGCCACCGTGCTGGGCCGCTTATGTTCTCTTTACCTGACTGTTGTCAAACTTCCCTGATCCTTCAGAATCTTGGTTTTGGCCACCTGTTATTATAATAACGTGCTGTGGAAATAGTGTTTGGAAAATGCTGACCTAAATCCTTAAAAACTCCCCTTTTCCTGATTACTAAAGCATTGCAGTGTCCATGTTCATTGTAAGAAATATGGAAAATATAATAAAAAATAGAAAAAAAGTTCCAATCCTTCAATTTCTCATTGCCCACTCTTTTTTTCTATGAATATGTAGGGATTAGGGGAGTGCATGTAAATCTGAATTAGGATCATATAGTTTTTTATATTTTTTAAGGATCAATATAAAGTCATAAGAATCATATAGTTTCATACCCTGCTTTTTTCCTGAATTTTATGATTTACTTAATATATGCAAAAGAGTATAAGTACAGTTTAAAGAATAATAATAAAACAAACAACCAGATATCCACTCCCAAGGTGCTGGGATTTCAGGTGGTGGCTCACGCCTACAATCCCAGCCCAGCACTTCGGAAGGTGGAGGCAGGAGGATCGCTTGAGCCCAGGAGTTTGAGACCAGCCTGGGCAACATGGTGAAACTCTGCCTCTATCAAAATAAATACAAAAGAATTAGCTGGGCGTGTTGGCGTATACCTGTCATCCCAGCTACTCGGGAAGCTGAGGTGGGAGGATCAGCTGAGCCCAGGGAGGTTGAGGCTACAGTGAGCTGTGTTCACACCACTGCACTCCAGCCTGGGCGACAGGGTGAGATCCTGTCTCAAAACGAAATAAAAATAATAGATAAATAAATATTCTTTGAGAACTTGAATTTTGATGGCTGCCTAGTGTTCCTTCAATGGGAGTACCATATTTTATTCAATCATCCCACTTTCTCAGAAATTTAATTGCTTTCAACTTTTTCTATTAAAAAAACACCATGAGGAAACTACTGTTTGTAAATCTTTGCCCATAATCAGAACAATCTCTGACTATTTCTTTACTATAAGTGAATAGAAGTAGAATTATAGGTTCAAAGTTTTAAAATAGTAATTGCCAACATATACCAAGCATGTGTATGCCAGATACTATAAAGACAGTTTACATGTATTAGCTCATTGAAATGTACAACTCCTGTGGTAGGTACCATTCTTTTTTTTTGATATAGAGTATAGAGTCTCACTCTGTCTCCCAGGTTGGAGTGCAGTGGCACAATCTCAGCTCACTGCAACCTCCACTTCCCAGTTTCAAGCGATTCTCTTGCCTCAGACTCCTGAGTAGCTGGGATTACAGGCGCCTTCCACCACACTGAGCTAATTTTTGTATTTTTAATACAGACAGGGTTTCACCATGTTGGCCGGCTGGTTTCGAACTCCTGACCTCCAGTGATCTGCTCACCTCGGCCTCCCAAAATGCTAGGATTACAGGTGTGAGCTTCTGTGCCTGGCTGGTAGGTACTATTCTTATTCCCATTGTACAGATGAGCAAACTGAGGGTCAGAGAAGTCAAGTGAATTGCCCCAAATCATACAGAAAGTAGCAAAACTGGTTCTGGAACCAGCATTCTGGTTCCAGAGTCTGAGCTCTTAGCCACTATGCAATGCTTTGGTTTGTTCATTTATTCGAGAGTATCTACTGAGACCTACTTAGTGCCAGGCACTATTACAAATGATAGGTATATAGAAGTGAACCAAACAGATAAAAATCTCTGCCCTACATTCTAGTTGTGGCAACAGACAGTGAACACAGTAAGTATAATCTTTACGTTGTTAAAAGGTGGCAAGTTTCCTGGCAAAAAAAGAAATGCTATTGCAGGTAGAGGGGCTGGGCGTGGCGACTCATGCCTGTAATCCCAGCACTTTGGGAGGCCGAGGCGGGCGGATCACCTGATGTCAGAAGTCCGAGAACAGCCTGGTTAACATGGTGAAACCTCGTCTCTACTAAAAATACAAAAAATAAGCCAGGCATGATAGTGCATGCCTGTAATCCCGGCTACTTGGGAGGCTGAGGCATGAGATCGCTGGAACCTGGGAGATGGGGGTTGCAGTGAGCTGAGGTTGTGCCACTGCACTCCAGCCTGGGAGACAGAGTGAGACTGTCTCAAAAAATAAAGAAGAAAGAAAAGAAAGAAAGAAGGAAAGAAAGAGAGAGAGAGAGAGAGAAAGAAAGAAAGAAAGAAAGAAAGAAGGAAGAAAGGAAGGAAGGAAGAAAGGAGGGAGGGAGGGAGGAAGGAAGGAAGAAAGAAAGAAAAAGAAAGAGAGAGAAAGAAGAAAGAGAGGAAAGAAAGAAGAAAGAGAAAGAAAGAGAAAGAAAGAAGAAAAGAAAGGAAGGAAGGAAAGAAGGAAGGAAGGGAGGGAGGGGAAAGAAAGAAAGAGAAAGAAAGGAAGGAAAGAAGGAAGGAAGAAGGGGGGAAGAAGGAAGGAAGGAAGAAAGAAAGAGAAAGAAAGGAAAGAAGGAAGAAGGGAGGGAGGGAGGGAGGAAGGAAGAAAGAAAGAGAAAGAAAGGAAGAAAGAAGGGAGGAAGGAAGAAGGAAGGAAGAAGGGGGAGGGAGGGAGGAAGGAAGGAAGAAAAAAAAGAAAGAAAGAAAAAGAAAGAAAAAGAAAGAAAAAGAAAGAAAGGAAAGAAAGAGAAAAAAAGAAAAATAAAGAAAGAAAGGAAAAAAAGAGGGAGTATAGAAGTCGGCATGCAATTTCAAATAGGGAGGTCAAGGAATATCCCCGAGAAAGAAATATTCATGCCAAGTCTTGAGGAAGGTGAAGGAGAGAGCCCTTTTGAGATCTGAAGGGAAAGCACTCCAGGCAGAGGCACCTGCCAGTGCAAAGGCCCTGGGGCAGAGTGGCCTGATTGTCCCAGGAGCAGCAAGAAGGCCAGTGGGGTTGGAGTAGAGGGAGAGGTGAGGTGGGAGGAGGTGAGATCAGAGAGATAATGGAGGAGATGCAGATGGCAGGGCTCTGAGGGCCACTGTGATGACTTCGGCTTTTCTCTGGTCCTGGTGGGAGCCATGGAGGGTTTGAAGCAGAGCTGCGATGTGATCCAGCTTATGTCTAACAGGATGCCTCTGGCTGCTGAGTGGAGACTTTGCATAGAGTGCAAAGGTAGAATTTCGGAGGCTTCTGTGACAGTCCAGGATGATGGTAGCTCAGCCCAGGTGGGTAGTGTGGGCTGGAAAGAAGTGGTTTCCTTCTGGATGAATTTTGTAAATAGAGTTGACAGGGTTTGCAAATCACTTGGCTGTGGGATTTTCTTTTCTTTTTTTTTTTTTTTGAGATGGAGTTTCACTCTTGTCTCCCAGGCTGTAGTGCAATGGCAAAATCTTGTCTCACTGTAACCTCCGCCTCCCGGGTTCAAGCAATTCTCCTGCCTCAGCCTCCCAAGCAGCTGGGACCACAGGCATGTGCCACCACCCCCAGCTATTTTATTACTATTATTATTATTATTACTATTTGCATTTTTAGTAGAGATGGCGTTTCACCATGCTGGCCAGGCTGGTCTCGAACTCCTGACCTCAGGTGATCCACCCGCCTCTGCCTCCCAAAATGCTGGGATTACAGGCATGAGCCACCACGCCTGGCTGGCTGTGGGATATTTTTAAAAGAGAGGAATCCAGGACACCCAAGCCTTGGAGAAGTGGAGATGCCATTAGGACAGCTGGGAAGCCTGGGAGGAATTTGGTTGGAACACGTTATGTTTGGGGGGCTGAGGCAGACATCACTGAGAGCTTGGTACCCTGTTCTCTGTTGGGTGCATAGGAGGATGGTACATCTTGCCACACTGAAGTTAGATGTGGCCATGAGACTAACTCTGGCCAGAGAATTGTGGGGGGGAGTCATATGTATGATTTCTGGGTCAGGGCATTTAATCACCTCCAACTCCACGGGTTCTGTCCTGAGGCTGCCTAAGGAGGAGGCACTGAGGTGGAACCTGCATTAACCTGGGTTACTGAGTGACTCATGAAGGAAAGCCCCCTGCCTATCTGCCCTGGACCTGTATCATCAGAAAGGAATAAGCCTTTGTTGTTCTAAGACACTGAGATTTTAATGTTGTTTGTTACAACAGCATAATTTATCTTGACTAATACAGGCACCTATTAGCAGGACTGTCAGGTAAGGTTGTACAGGTTGTACACT